AAGTGATCGTTATGTGAACCTAGAAGGAAACCTTATCAATTACCTTGTCTGATTTCAAACGTGATAGATTGCTGTTACAGTGCTAACAAGAAATTTCCAATTTCCTTCTTTGTACTGATCTGCATCTCGTTTTCTTCCATTCTGTCTCATAACAGGACAGCTGATATGGTACTTATCATTATAAAATAACAAAAGAAATGTCATCAATACAGTAGCAGTGACAAAAAAGGAATCAGAAATAAATGTTTGAACTTAAGAAACAGAATGTTGGATACCTTTGATCCTCCACCTTTCATAATTTTTGTTCGGAATTGACAAATATTTGACTCTGTCCACTCTGTTTGATTCATCAGAGATAAATAGGAATAATACAGAGCAAAAATGTGAGATGATGAACATCGTGTGCCAAAAAGAAATGTTTTATATTTCCGAAATATTGAATCTTTCAAGCAAAGCAAGAAGAATATTCGCCGATGCAAACGCAACTTTACGTCCGAGAGTTCATCTTCATTAATTTTAAGTGCTTTTCAACCTCCCTTTCCTTATCCTTTGAATGGGTCAAGTTGATAGCGTTTTGACAATTGGTTTTGAATTACAAACCGTTCAATGCACAGCTTTGATAACTTTGAGAGCCTGCCAGTGTGTCATTTCAATAGATATGAAGAATTTTATTAATCTTTTTGATCGTAATGTTATGATATAACACAAATCAAAAAGAAGTAAACTGCATTAATACATGTTGACAAATATAGCATAAAACACAGTTAACACATAACGGGGACAAAGATTACATTGATAAGTACTGTAAAACACTTAAAATAAAATCCGAAACAACTGACGTATGACTAATAAGGCTTGGTATATTCCTAAATTTTATGATTCAAGCCCTTTCCCAGGCTAAGCCTTGACTAATAGCATTTTTTAAGAGTTTTCTCGAAAGCATTTTGGTTCAGTCCTTTTATAATCTTTGATAATTTGATGGACATGCGCCTGATATCAAGTTCCGACCTAGATAAAGAATCTATGAGCTGATACTTCCAAGAAATGTAAGTTTCTGAAGTTATAATTATTATGATAATTTAATGAGATTAAGTTTTCTGGATTATGTCTGGCATATATTACTAGCTCATATACAATGTGTTTGGTCACGACATACCGATATTTGAGGGGGATATTTTTCAGCTATTTTTATCGACAATACCACCCCCTACAATGTCATACTTCACCTCCCTTGAAATGGATCCATACCGCTCCGAACGAAATTAGGGCTGACACGGATATGGTCCGCCGCTCAACACGACACATTGTTTTAAGAACAACAATGTGCATAACCATGGAGGACATTTTGAACAGCTGCTGTAACATTAAACATGTCCAAACTCTCTATAAGAAACATTGATTTGTCATTTTTATGTATAACTTTTAAAACAATTTGCATTTTATTACACCCATTTTGACCCATGTTAGATAGCATTTATTGCTCAACGTAGAATACTTAGGATAACACAAAGCTGTGGAATTAGCACAAAAAACGTACAACTTCACTGACTAGTTTTTGAACGGTGTGAGGAAATGCACAAAAAAATCAATTTTCTTCCATATTTTTTTCTGTTTTTGTCTGTTTTTAAGTATGTTTGACGGTTAGCATCAAAACAGGTTTTTCAGTAATCGCTAGGACAAGATGTCATCGTTCAAATGACATCAAATTTATCATTCTATGACAATTACGTACTCAGTTATTACAATTTTCATACATGCACTACCGTAATCGTAACGTAAAAATATAAATGGCTGCCATTTCAAGAGGGATGAGGCAGCACATTGTAGGGGTGGATTTGTCGATAAAAATAGCTGAAAAATACCCCTCTTAAACATCGGTATGTCGTGACCAAACACATTGTATATGAACACAGTTAACATTTAAATTTATGAATACATTCCTGCAGGTAGTTCGGTTCTCCACTCCCTTTTTTGCATAATAAATACTCTGCTTACTTCAGGAATGCCTCCTCGTGCTGCTTGTACTAATAGCAACTTTATCTGTAGGGTTCTGATATGCTCACAAGGGGCTTCAAAATGAGGTATCAATGGTCCCCTATTCCACTTAAAAATGTTTCAAGTTGGCGACCTGCCGCTTTTTGGAAAGCAGTATTTGTGTGCGATGAATAACTTTTAGTATAAGTCCGAGGCGTAGAGGCCTTTCTGCCACTTTCAGCGTGCGGGCTACCAAGATTTCAGGGTACCAAGATTTGAAAAACCATTTGAAAGTGGCGCCTGTCAGTGTTGTCATCACCTATTTGTGCACATATTCAGTTTTTCAGTAGGTCATACCCAATTGCTTGCACTCCAGTTGCCTGTCTCGAACGACTAGACCTATATATATCGTACTGATGATTGCCATTAAGCATGAAATAACATCATGTGCTGTTTGCCATGGTTACAGAGACGGAAAGTAAACATGTTCAGTTCAATGAATAGCTTCTCTACAGAAGATCGGTTGAGGAAATTATGTGCTAGAGATACGAATGATCCTTCTGTTTAGCAATAGTACAAACATTAGATACTTGCTTTGTTTTTTACGTTTCCAAAGGGATTAAAAAATGCTCAATGATGATGATTTCCTCACATTTTCTTGTGGAGTCAACTTCTATTTATTACATATAACAGTTTTGATCGAACATAACTTAGAAACTAGCCAATTGGTATGAGAGGCTGTCACGTGCCAAAATTACGTAACCTTTTTGATTTGATAATAGAGTGCCCATTCCTAGGCCAAACCCATTTCAATGATTTTCTTTTGGCAAATTTAATATTTTATTGATTGTATAATTTCACTCGTATTATATCTTTCTTTCTCAGCGATTCATTATGGTGTTGACGATAGGCAAAAAACTGTAGTTTTTCTCCGTTAGTTGGTTTCCTATAAAACATACCTTCTTCAAGGTCACTCAAGATACCTTCTTCTAGAACGTTACGTGCTCTGCGTGATTCGCTTTTCTGTTTCCGTTGAGGTCGTGGTGCAGGGGTCGTTTCGTCATATTCCGGACTCTGGGATATTAGGCCCCAAGCGTCAATTCATGGACTAGCACCCTTGTTTTTGTGTAACTTAAGTTTAGTCATTTTGGTTTAGGTGCTACGTCTTCCATTTTTTTTATTGGATTTTGAGCCTCAGCGGTAAGTTCTTTTTTATATACTTTCGGACCACGTGCCTTAATGCGTGTTCTGATGACGTTCGTTGAATATCTGCTTTCTTTTAGTCAATAGAAACAGAAGAGAATCATCATCCTTTCTCCTCCAGTTGGTTGCATCTTGTTGCAGTTTTACATATTGGTGGAAGCCATCCCCTTGAAAAAAAAACCGGATGTGAACAGGTAAAATATCATTCTAATTAACAATTTCATAGATCTTTATACATTTATTATTGCTTACTGAAATTATTAGAGGCTTCTTGATTTTATTGGATATTCTACGTATTCAAATATGGGGGCAGTGCCTACATGGCACCTTCTATTACATTGATCATGATTTTGATTTTTGAGCTGCCATAACTTTTTAGAACAAGGGTATATTAGTTTAGTACATTTTTATATTTTTTTGCATTTGCTTTACTTTTCTTGTACAAAAAAATGTACACGGTTTTGTTTCAAGTGCGATTGTTTTCAATGCGTAGTTTTATCTCAGACAGAGAGTTGAGTAGATTTTTAAACAGTATTTCTCTCTCTAGGGTTTTTTTACTGCCACAATTTTTGGCATGGATGCAAGCAGCCCCTGCCCAGCGACGTGCCCACTACTGGCCGCTTTTTGACCAGAGTTGAGGACATCTCGGCCGCGCCTGACAAAGAAGACCTACAGATATGTATAATATTTAGGCGCAAAATATCTGTAAATACTTCGGGTGTATACCATGGTAGACGTTTCGCATGGTTATCTCGAAAAATAATTTTGTCAGGTTGTATTTAAGATTTATAACATCCCTTCTTTTTTTTTATTACTCGCACTTCAGTAGTGGAGCACCCGTGCATTTTTTTATTAATCAATGTATAGTCATTCATTCAATATCTTGTTTTATTTGACTCTCTCTGTGTGTACTGTTACTTAGATTTCGTCATCTCAGTTAGTTTCTCCTTTTGTGTGGTGGTCAAGCAAAAGAAGTTCCGACTAACATCTCGGGGAGTTGTGGCTTAATCCGTCCTAAGTCACTGGCGCTCTTAACCTCCCTCCCCTGCTCTCCGCTTTGTTGAGCTAGGGCCCAAATTTGCACGCCACTAGACAACTGCTTTGCTTGGACCAACCGTTAGATAGTATTTATCATTGTGTTTAATTAATTAACCAAAAAATGGCGTGGCAAGGTTTTGATCAAAATTTCTATAAATTTGACGGAAACCATCATGAGATAAAATCGTGCAATTTCTTTCGTAAACTGTGCCTATTGGTAAACATCCTGGATTATTGTCAAATAATTCTCCATTTTTGTTGAATCGCTCTGTGACCAACGAATTCAGACTAGGTAGGAGGAGCTGGTCACGGATTTGTTTGTACATGGAGACTTGACCAAGTTAATGTTTTCGCAGTTCCGTCATTAAATTCATATTTTTTAATAATGCAGTTTGCAGATAATTGTGGTTTTGGAAGATTTCAAGCCATGGTGCTTCTTACATAATTTACAAAAAGCGGCACAAGCCTAATAAAGGTAGATGTTTCCAACGGTAAGTATTACCTTTGTATTGATATTACGCTGTCACTTCGGTAGGCATTGGTACGAGGGATGTCTTTTAAGTTTTGCATATAGAAACACAGTAGGCCGCGCGGATCGAACGTCAGTACTGAATCTTAACCTCACTCTTTAGTAAACTTATATTCAAAGTTTCACAACAATACGTGCAGTGTTCTCACTACAGTAAATTTTTAAGTGTCACCAAGTCATTAGAAAAATGGAACTCAACCGAGAACATTTCCGCGCCATAATTTATTACAACTTTCGCAACAAGGATGCCTTGCTGAGTTACTGTCTGTTTTCGGCAACGAAGCGCCACATCAGTCGACAATTTCCCGTTGGTATGGAGAATTCAAACGTGGACGGATGAGTCTTAGTGACGATTCCACGGTGGGTGCACCAAAAACGGCAATCACCCAGGAAAACGTCGATGCTGCGCACAAACTCATAATTGAAGATAGACATATGATACCCCACCTCTTAACTGAAGAGCAGAAAGCAGCCAGGGTTAATTGGTGTCAAAAAACGCTTGACCGTTTCAATTCTGGGAACTCAAAAAATGTGTACAGCATTGTTAGTGGTGATGAATCGTGGATTTACTGTTATGAACCAGAAAATAAACGACAGTCGGCTGTTTGGGTGTTCCAAGGTGAAGAAAAGCCAACAAAAGTCATCCGTTCTCGAAGTGTTTCGAAAAAGATGGTCGCGACGTTTGTGTGAAAAGCGGGTCATATTTGTTTGCCAAAAGTTATCACCGAGCTTCGAAAAATCAACCCCGAAAAAAGAATCATCCTCCACCAAGACAATGCAAGCTCACACACAGCCCAAAAAACAAGACAGTACATTAACAGAAGAAAATGTGGAATTATTTTACCATCCTCCATATAGTCTTGATCTAAGTCCTAACGATTTCTTTACTTTCCCGAAAATTAAAAACACACTGCGTGGTCAAAGGTTCCAGTCACCAGAAGAAGCAGTTGACGCATTCAACAATGCCGTTTTGGATCTGCCAGCAAACGAGTGGAATAAGTGCTTCGAAAATTGGTTCGAGCGCAAGCAGATGTGTATTTATCTTCGTGGAGAATACTTCGAAAAACAATAAAGTCATTTAAAACTACCTACCGTGTTGTTTTATTTCCATATGCAAAACTTAAAAGACATCCCTCGTAGTCAAACGAGTAGGGTTTGGTGACAAACATATAGGGTTGGCTCCTTCTAACCTATTCGAATTCATTGACTGTGACCTGGTATACTGCAAAACTGTTACCAAAAGCAGTTAATATATTCAATTCCCATTATATTAATATATTATCAAGAATCATTATGCAACCCATTTTTTACAGTTTCCTTCATGACTGTAATTCGCAGACAAAAGCATAAAAACCGAAACTTGAAAATTACGTCTAATCTAATCTTTACATAACGCTGTCTCCCAAGCAATTTTCAGCGATTTTCTTCAATAACAGAAAAATCCTTTCACCCGTTATTATCCTTGTAAAACTATTATGCGCTGCGCTTTCTCAGCACTGAAAAAATCATCAATGTTGATCTATTGAAAAAACTAGACCTCGAGAAGAAATAGTTTATAAATATTTATGCTTTGCTTCTTCGAAAAGATAGAAAGATGATTCTGGCGTTATCCTTGATTCCTATCAACCATGGACAATTATTTTATATAATTTTTATTTTGAAGAAAAAAATAAGTCAACAATAGCATAACAGTTCATCGATATGGTTCAGTGTATAGTAGTTCCTATTTAAGAGCTTCTATTCTACAAATCGAGCTTTTAAATCGACGAAAAGCTGTGTAGATTCTTTTTACAAAAGTAGTGATCTTGAGATATTCTAAAATAATTTTATTAATGGGTGAGTTGGGTCATTGACATTTTACTTCTACTTACGGCTGAATCATTTAGCTTTAATTATTGTTATCATACTTACATGTTATTTTGAAGATGAATCGTAAAGCTCACTTAATCCAAGGCGTGACTAGTCGATTAATAGAGGACCAGCTCGGAAATACTCTTGAAATTAATCACAGAAGTGACCATTTTAGCTAATGTTACCTATGTAAATCGTAACGATAAACATCTTACCAAACTCTACGTTGCATCTCCCAGTCAACTATACAATCTAACAGTCAAAATTCGGGCAACTTAGTATGATATTCTCCCTTTTCTGACCATAGTTGCTTATAATTATTGTACGCATTTGGGACGTTCCAATCACAGTTTGGAGCGCTCGCTTTATATGGAACTTCAAGCAGACATTTTAGTCACTCCTAGGCTTTACCAAAAACGACATCTTTATTCTATACCATCCTTTGAACCTAGCCTAAATAAGGCTGAGCGAAAGTCAAGGCGCAGGGTAACGCAGGCAAGCTTAGGTAGCACTGTAATAGCACAGTCGGGTCAAACGATTAGAAGGAACCTAGCCTATATGTTGACATTCCATTGTTTGTTGTCAAAATTACGCACCAGATTTATATGACAATATTTTAGAAAGTGATAGGTTATTCAAGAGGGCTATGATAACACAGCAGGAAAAACATTGGGTGAGCTTTCGACGACAAAGAAATAAAGTTGTTCAATTAATAAAACAACAAAAGCAAGTATATTACCAACAAAGAATAGATGATGCCAAAGGAGATTCAAAATCTATGTGGAACAGTTTGAAGGATATTATAGACAATGATTGGGAAGTAGAAATACGGAGGGTATTGATTTCGATGGCACTATATACAAAGAAAGTGAGACAATATTATAGAGTTTTAATGATTTTTTTCTGAACAGCGTGAATAATTTGGCAATTGATATAGATGACATACATATGGAAAATACTTTGAATTACACACCAACTCCTACAAATAGCTTTAGTACATTTAAAAGAGTTCAAATGAAGGAACTAAGAAATATAGTTAACAATTTAAAAAATAAAACTAGCAGTTATGATAGACTCAAATTTAACATTTAATAGCCATGCAGGTTATATTATAAAAAAAGTTTCTAAAAAAGTTAATTTAATGTGTAGGGTAACAAAGGACCTTCGTTCATGAACGTCAATACTTATATATTAAACAATAGTCATGCCTCTCTTTAACTACTGTTCCTCCATATTATATACGTTTCAGAAAGGTAATATAGATTCACTACAGAGAAAACAAAATCAGCCTCTTAGATGTATCTTAAGATGTAATAGATACACAAGAATAAAAGACATGTTAGAAGTAACTAATTTATTAAGTATCAAACAAAATATATTTTACAATACAATGATAGTCATCTACAAAATAAAGAATGGAGTGTATCCCGAACACATATAGGAAGATTTGCAATTTGTCTGTGATATTTATAGTTACAATACAAGGAATAGGTTTGATTTTTGTTCCAGCTGTGGGGTCTGCTTTTGCGCAAAATAGTTTATTTCATAAAGGCCTTATAGATCTTAATAATTTACCAGCTGAAATCAAATCGACAAATTTTGTCAAATTCAAAAGACAATTGAGAATTTATGTAGAAAATAGTGTTAGTTTTAGATAATAACATTATATACAGGGTGTTTCAGTTTATTGTTGCATAACTTTAAGATTCGATAGAACTTTTAAAATTAATGCATAAAGTCTATATAAACATGGGTCGAAAAATTCACTTTCTAAAATAGTTTTTTTTAAATATTTCGAACAATATTTGATGCATAACAGTGAAAAGTGGTATACAAGGGTTTTTTGGTACGACAAAACGAACCATGGGCATAGTTTTACTGTAGCCGCTAGAGGGCGCTCTCTACTGTACCTGTAGTGTATTGAAATGACCGAAAATTTTTTCTTAGTGCAATTTGTTGCTTTTTGAATGAAAAAACTGATTCTTCGCACTTTTCAGCATAAAAAAGCTCTCTTGTGAATTTTCGTTATAGTTAGCCATTTTTGAGGTATTTCGATTTTTAAGGTTCGATGCATTTTTAATTATTTATGATAAAATAACGTTAAAAAGTCAGTACCTCGATAATTTTTAGAAGTAGGCTGTGCCTGCAAATATTTTTGAAATTGAAAGCAGAATAAGGTTAAACGTCAATTAGTTGACAGTTAGTTTTGTTGTCTGTTGAAACCTGAAACGTTTTTTTTGCAATTGTGAATGCACGAAATTTAGTTTCTTTTACCTGTTTTTTTTTGTAAGTTTTATAAAAATGCCATTTTTATTCTCCAATCAAGAGTTAGCGGATATTCATTTTGTGTATGGCTTTGTAAATGGAAACGCAGCAGAAGCAGCCAGAGAATACGCACGAAGATTTCCAAATAGACGACATCCAACTCGCTCAATATCTGTCACAGTGCATCGCCAAATAATTGAAAATGGTTTTGGAAATCTCCAAAGGGATCAAAACATAAATGTTCGTGAGCGCAGATTTACCCGTATGATTCTGCGTGAGTTTGATAGAGATCCGACCACAAGTGTTAGGAGAGTTTCCGGTGCCTTAGGAATTTCAGCAACCCATGTTCACCGTGTTCTTAGAAATGACCATAGACGTCCTTACCATTTGCAACCTGTGCAAGGACTACAGCCAGGGGACGGAGAACGAAGAATCACATTTTGTCAGTGGATTCTTCATAGAACTGATAATAATAGGGAGTTTTTAAGTAACGTTTTATGGACCGATGAGTCATGCTTCACTAGACGTGGAGTGGTAAATTTTCATAACATATTTGGTCGCATGAAAATCCGCATGCAGTTCGGGAAAGAAATGTTCAGCATGAATTTAGTGTGAACGTGTGGATTGGTATCTACCGTAATCGACTATTTGGACCCTACCTTTTGCCTGCAAAGTTAAATACTGCGACCTTCTTGGAATTTTTAAAGGCTGAACATGCAAATATGTGGGATGATGTTATGTTAGATTTAAGAAGATTGGCCTGGTTTCAGCTTGATGGTTGTCCATCTCATTATTCGAGAATAGTTAGAAACTGGCTGGACGAAAATTATCCAGAAAGATGGATCGGCCGTGGAGGACCAGTCGCCTGGCCTCCACGATCCCCTGACCTAAATCCATTAGATTTCTTTGTGTGGGGATTTCTAAAAGAACAAGTGTACCAGACTCGCGTAACCACAAGAGATATGGTAATAGGCAGAATCAGGAATGCATGTGATGAAATAAGGCCTTATTTGAATAATGCTATACCACGTTCGATCATTCGTAGATGTGAATTGTATATTGAACAATTGGGTTTACATTTCGAGCAACTACTTTAGATTTTGTATGTTTGTCCTAACTACCCAATAGCATTTTAGTTGTAAATAATTAATTTAATTTGTTAAAAATAATATTGGAAAATTAAACAAATTAATATTCTGTTTTTTGTGTTTATTTGGAGTTAGGAATTATTGCTGTGTTTAAAAACACAATCTACACGATCATCTTAATTACTTGTAATGCCCAAATCGAAAATGTAAAAAAAAATATTATTTTCCCATAAGTAATTAAAATTGCATAGAACCTTAAAAATCGAAATATCTCAAAAACGGCTAACTATAACGAAAACTCTCAGGAGAGCTTTTGTATGTTGAAAAGTACGAAGAATCAGTTTTTTTATTCAAAAAGCAAAAAATTGAACTAAGGAACAATTTTCGGACATTTTAATATACTACAGGTACAGTAGAGAGCGCCCTCTAGCGGCTACAGTAAAACTACTCTTTGTAGATCCTTTGAGCTTGAAGTACCACAGCAAGTGGCTATAACCGGCCGCGTGGTGGTGGTTAGACGTCTCCTTGAAAATTCGAGGTCGTATAGCCATTTTATACTACAATGTGTAGGTTGGCTCTTGTTGTGTATCGCTCGGGTTACCTATCCTATTTTCTACTCGAATCCACTTTCCTCCTTTTTGCGGATTTTGCCCATTATTTTCCTACTTGTTGTTATACAGGGTGACTTTGAAGTTGAGTCATTATATCAAAATATGTGTGTAAAAATAAAAAAAAAATAAAAAAAAATGTTTACCTTGTTTTATAAAGTATCCTCCCGACAAGTATTTCAGTGCGGACCTGTATTTGATCGTGAGGTCCCCTGTGAGGTCTTAAGTCACCTGATTCACAAGCCCGTTGTACTACATTAACAAAGGCACGAGGGGTTGGTTGCACTCGATTGGGAAACCGATCCGCATAAACATGTGCCATTTTTTATTTCGTTTGAGCCAAGCAACACATACCACTATTCACTGACACTAACTGTATACAAATGAATGAGATACCTGTAAAAACATCGTTCCAAATTCTTTCGCTTTTTTGTTTCCGATGCGATGAACCGATACGGCGGATTATATCCATTGTCGCCAAACACGACCACATAATATTGTTATTGAGACAGGGCGGTACTCAAACTTCCAAAGGGCTATAACTTTGTTACTTTAATTTTACCAGGAAAATGGTAAAGGAAAAAAACATTTCTTTTGATCAGATCTACTCACTGTTAAAATAAATGACTCAACTTCGAAGTCACCCTGTATACTTTTCTCCGCATGATCATATTCTCTTTGTAGATCCTTTGGGCTTGAAGTACCAAGCAAGTGGCTATAACGGCCGCGTGGTGGTGGTTAGACGTCTCCTTGAAAATTCGAGGTCGTATAGCCATTTTATATTACAATGTGTAGGTTGGCTCTTGTTGTGGACTTCGTGTGTCGTTTTTTTCTCCCCTCCAACTTCGTTTCCTCAGGTTACACCCGTATCCGGATGTGTGGGCATGTGTATCTACTTTTGTAGTTTCATATGTGCATTCATTTCGGGCCTGATGAAGCCAACCAGCAGAAATACGAATCCACTTTCCTCCTTTTTGCGGACTTTGCCCATTATTTTCCTACTTGTTGTTATATACTGTTCTCCGCATGATCATATTCTCTATATATATATATATATGTATATACTAAGTGACATATAAATCCGAACACCCAGTTTAAATGGTTTTATTTTAATAAAAGTTGGTGAATGTATTTATCTTACTGTAAATAACAAGTGAACAAATTTTCAGCCTTATCAGTTGGTTCCGATTTTTATACTGTTTTTTTTAATTCACTAACGCTCTAAAAATGAATATTTCAGCCGCAGTAAAGAATCAACGTGGTTCTTGACATCCTTTACGATCGGTTACGATGCCTAGAGTACGGAGACCTGTACGATTTCGTCAACTTAGTGAGTTTGATAGGGGCCGTATAGGACTTCGGGTAGCTGGACTTTCTTTTCGGGCAATTGCAGTTAGAGTGCAAAGAAGTGTAGACACTGTGGTTGGGTGTTGTCAGGCATGGCTTCGAGAATACCGTACGCAAAGAGCAAGGGGCACTGGACGCCGCCGTAGAACAACAGACCGTGAAGATCGCCGCCTAAGATTATTGGCCTTAAGGAACCGTTTCTCCACTACCAGGTCCATTGCAAATGAATGGTTTGCAGAACACGGAAGACCTATTGGCATGCGAAGTGTTTACCGATGAATGAGAAGTTTTGGCTTGTTTTCATACCGGCCACACTGGATCCTCCCTTTAACTCGAGAACATCGACGTAATCGCCTTGAGTGGTGCAGACAACGGTCACTCTGGGATCAGGAATGGAACAGTATTGTCTTTAGTGACGAGTCTCGATTTTGTTTAGGCATGCTCCATGATCGTGCCACGGTTAGAAGGCGACGTGGTGAAAGGAGGAATCCACAGTTTTTTGTTGAAAGACATGTTCATCACACTGTTGGAGTTATGGTTTGGGGTGCTATAGCTTATGGTTCCAGGACACCTTTAATCTTCATCAGAGGTAACATGAACGCGCAGCGTTATATCCACGAAGTTCTAGAACCCCATCCTTTACCCTATCTTGACACCCTGGCAGATCCAACTTTCCAACAAGATAATGCCCGACCACATGTTGCAAGAGTCACAATAGACTTCTTTCAACATAATGATGTCACATTGTTACCATGGCCACCAAGATCTCCCGACTTATCCCCAATTGAGCACGTGTGGGATATGATGGGTAGGAGATTGCTCAATTTGCAACGTCCTCCTCAGACTCTAGAAGCACTTCGAGAGGAGTTGGTGGTTGCCTGGAATGAGATACCACAGGAGGACATTGACCACCTGATCAGAAGCATGCCTAGGCGCGTTGGAGAATGCGTAGCACATCAGGGTGCATCCACGCATTATTAAAGGTCAAAGGGCTTTAAAGCAGTGCAATCATTTTGAAATTTTTATCATTTACTTATTATGCTTCATTAAGTACTTATACAAAATTTTATTAAAATAAAACCATTTAAACTGGGTGTTCGGATTTATATGTCACTTAGTATATATATATATATATATATATATATTGTTTTGTTCAGCTTGAAGCTATTAAATAAAGATACTACTACTACCAATACTATTTCTCGTTTGATTACCAATGCCTACCAATGTGACAGCGTTGTACCAACAATATAATAGGCTTGTGCCGCTCTTTCAAATTGTGTAATAAGTACCATGTGTTGAAATCGACGTGCATTATTTTCTGGACAGTCCAACTTAATTAATAGAACTATCCATCTTTCAGCATCCAAATCTGTTCTTAATTCGACTTGGCTATTACAGCGACACCTGATGTCACCTGTACCACCTCATGTCACCTGTTCCGCCCTGCGGGTCAACTTCCACGCGACTTGTTAGATTTTTGAAGGCGTTTATGCTTCACCATTTACATAATACCAACATTTAAAAGGGGAAAAAAACGTTACATATGGCGAATGACTCAAATTTAGGAATCGTCTGAAACACTGGCAAAATCATTTTACTTCCCTCGCCTGTAGCGATGAAGTATCGTAATCGCGGAAAATTTTGATGATGAGATATGTTTTTGAATGTTGTAACGTGAACATCACGAAAAAGCATGCTAATCATTTCCGTCGGTTTGTCTGCCAGTGTCTTTCCCCTAATCCTTCGAAAGTCCGCTCTGAGTTTGACGTACTGTACCAAGGATGAAGAAGCTATCTGGTTTTTGAAAATCGGTCCAGTTGCGGCGATGAGAATAATGAAAATTGCTCAAACCATTTGTTGACGTTCTAGAGACTACTGATTATTTTCAGAAAAATGTTTGTAGGTGCTAGAAATCAGGCGTTTGGGATTGCGGGGGGAGGGGTGGGTATAACTTGTTTTGTTAACGGTAATTTCACGCTTCTATTAGTTCATATTCCACTCATCATAGATTTCCCGTACATTTGCCCATAAAAATTAGAGAAATATTTGCAGACGCGACACGCGATTAGTCGAGACGATGGCAAGCTTCATACGCCATACTCTGAATGCGACCAACTTCATCGCCTTCGTTCTCGATCTCGAGTTATAGTATCGTGGCTGGCTATCACGGTATGGTTAACTGGTGTGGTTTAGCATCGTTACCAGATGGTCGATACTTAGAGTAGGGAACAAACTACGGTCAGCAAATAATGGATGGGGATTATGGAGTAAGGAATAGTTGTATGGGCCTGTGTGGCTAGCTTGATCCATTTAATTTCTTTTGTTATACATGTTTATAGCTAGCTCATAGAGACCAGCTTGAGCCGCCATTTTTTCTTCAGGCGTTATATCCTTTCTTTATAATGAAACTTTTTTCGATTTCAATTTCTTCCAGATGACGGTAAATAATTTTTGCAATGACTCCGCGGAATTCGCAGAACAAAGCATCAACATCATGAAAGAAAGTAAACTCGACTGTAGAACATAACTTCAATGATGGACTACTTCATAAGTTTTAAATTCATCTCTTGGCTAGTACGGATGCTAAATCGAATGAAAAGTGTTCAGGTAACTTCTTCTCGGCAGGTAAAATATAAAACTGTATTGTAAACTTAGGTCAGATTTTTTTCTTAATCAAGTACAAATATGGCCATAAGTATGTAACTAACTTATCGACGTGTATCTACTATCTACTATCGAACCTGAACAAAAACACGTGGGAAAAGTCAGATAAAGTGCTTGAAGATACTAAACGTAAAGCTTCTAAAATAGTATCCTGCATGTATTAAGTCATTTCAAACCAAACGCCTTATTGAGAAGTATGATAGTATTTGATTATGCTGAATCCATTAGATGAGTAACGCTAGTGAATAGAACATTTTGCGCCCGACTTCGATATTTTTTAAGAAAAAAATAGTACGCAACGATTTTTGCCCAAATAAAAATTATCTTTGAATTCCCCGTTCAATTTAAAATAAATGATCTCTCCTGAATTGTTTTCCTTCAATGCGCCATTTTTGAGTAAAAAAATAAAAACCGTTCTATTGTCTAACTTGCAAAATTATTATTCATTTAATTGAAAAAATTAAACACATTAGGGGTAATGGACAACAACAACTGACAACATAAACATAACATTAAAACCAACGAAATGATTACAAAAATTGTTGAAAATGGCCCACTTCACTTAGTATGCATGCTTCCGACCTCCTTCTCATGGAATTGCGCACTCGTTGAAATATCCCTGGAGTGTTTTTTATTCTTTCACAAGCTGCAACTATTTTTTCTCTTAATTCCTCTACAGTATTAATGGGACTTGTGTACACTAGCGTCTTAAGACACCCCCACAAAAAGAAGGTCTTGGGACTTTGGTGGCCATTCTTGGGGCCCACCGCGGCCAATCCAACGATTTGGATAAACAGTTTGTAAATAATTACCAACCGCTACACTGAAATGCACTGGTGCGCCATCATGCATGTACCACATATTATTTCTTATTACTAACGGAACATCATCAAGCAGCAAAGGCAACTGTTGTTGAAGAAAATTGAGGTAAGTCTGTCCGTCAAGTCGTCCCGGCAAGAAGAATGGGCCAATAAAGTGGTTGCCAATAATTCCTGCCCATACGTTAACCGAAAATTGGTGTTGGAAATGGGTTTCGGTTACAGCATAGGGATTTTATTCTGCCCACAAATGATTATTGTGGAAATTCTGAAAGGCATTTCGAGAAAAATTAGCTTCGTCCGTGAACAGAATCATTGATTCAAATTGCGGATTTTGTGTAGTTTTTTGAAGATACCACTGACAAAAGGTCACACGCCTTGGAAAATCAATGGGAAGTAATGCATGTACTCTTAAAATATGGTAAGGATATAACAAAAAATCCACTAAAATTCTCCAAACAATTTGATGGCAAATATTTAAGTGTCTAGCGATCTTCCTCGTACTCGTTTCAGGATGTTCTTCGACTCCGTGCAGCACTGCTTCCTCAATTTCAGATGTTCTCACACTTAGAGATCTACCTTCAGATGTTCCTTTTCAGACAGAACCAGTTTCAACAAGACGACGATGAACATTAGAAAAGGTTCGACTATCTGGCAAAGCACGATCGGGATATCTCTGGTGATAAGTCCGTCTGGCTTGCTCACCATTACCGTCGGCAAGGCCATATACGTAATGCATTTCCGCCATTTCGGCATTTGAATAATTCACTATTATTAACAAGATTGTAAAAACTAAATAATGAAAAAGATGTCACAGCGAACAGATTTGAATAACAGAGACTTGTCAGATGTCGAAAGCCAATGACATATTTCAGAACAACTAGATTATTGCTAAATTGCATTCTTCAATTATTACATTAATTTTCTCGGACAATAGAATATTTTTTACTCAAAAATGGGACATCGGAGGAAAACAATTCAAGAGAGATCATTTGTTTTAAATTGAAGGGGGAATTCAAAAATAGTTTTATATATATATATATATATATATATATATATATATATATATATATAATAATATATATATAAATAATATTTGGCAAAAAACTATTAGCGTACGTACTATTTTTTTCTTAAAAATATCGAAGTCAATACCCGTACGCACGCCACTGTTAAAGCTAAAAATTATTTTTGCATTGAAAAATATGCAACTTTGTTAACTTTCTCTACGTACTTAATATCAGTGAAATATCTGAAGGGGTCCTGAAAATATTAATTAACTTCCATTTTTTTCCTAAAACTTCAACTTCCCGAGTTTTTGTGAGGAAACATTTTTGGACCATAGTTTATAAAACAAACTAACATTAATTTTTCATGTAGATTCACACCCTTAAATATTCGGATATCATTAAGGAAAACCTTGTATAAGACGTACGTCCCCCTTAGACGTATTCCAACCCCGATCTTCAGTTTTTAGGAGACGAATATGTTCCTGACAGATTCTCAAATAAGCGGTTGCCCATATCCACCTATCCAGAAAATGAGGGATGTATCGTACTTGCCATCAGTTTTTTGGCCTGCCTGTCTGACTACGCGTAATCTTCACAAACCCTGTTCCCGTCTTAGAGGGGCGCGATATGCTGCTGTGTAAACATCCCTTAACATTGAGCTCGTTCAGTTAACGTAAAACTGACCAGTGTAGCTCTTTTATGCTGAATAGGTATCAGTTTTCACTTGGTTGTCAATTTTCACAGTTTGTTGATTAAATGCTACCAGCTTTTATACTCCAACTACCACGAAGGCGTAAGACCTAAACACCCATTGGGTGCCGTAGGACTATAGGGGGGACACGGGAGAAAGGGAGGACGCCACACAGACTCCTGCGAGGGAACACGTGTCCATCCAACATGCACACATTGTGGCTCCGCCTACGAGATCCGCCGAGTGGTACCTCCGCGTTCGACAGTCAGAGACCGTCTACCACCTACGGACAATCACAACATCCATAGCCAAGAGAAAAATTTCTCTTGGAACGGGATTCGAGACCGAAGAGTCTACTACTGCGGCCACCGCTGCTGCCACGACTACTGCTATTCATGAGCGGGAACGTTTTACATTGGCTAAGCTTTCGGGGAGCCCTTTGTCAGATTATGTATTGTACAATGTGTTTTATAATTAGGTGTCTCTATTGCGGATTGCCGGAGAAAAAAATGTAAATGCAAACATAATGTTCCAGGGTAATAACTGAATAAATTCGCTACATGCATATTCCAGTGCCTATCGGAGAGTACTGCCGACGTCCTTATGGCTGAAAAAAATAAAGTACTTCAGAGAAAATGTAATGCCTATGATCAGAAATGATAGTGGTAAATAAAATATCTGGAATATCTCAAGACAACATAGTGAAAATAATTCAATCTCAAGCCAGTGTATGAGGTCCATTGTATTTGACATCGACTATTCCACAAACATTTGGAATCACTCACGTCATCAAAGACCAAGGACATCCATACATATTTCGGTTGGTAGACAGTGTAAATTGATAAATTGATCAATTTCCAGTTGACAAAACTATAGATCAAACAATTACCTACCAAGTGATAAAAGATGATCAAATAACATGAACTGGACAAAAAGCAACCACTACCAGTTGATAGTACAGAAATATCAGATTTGACTAATGATACTAAAATCTAGCATAATACCAGTGTGAATCATAGCTAATTGCTGGTAATCGTTGGAAATGTGAATTGTGGAAATTTTATTCTCATCATCAGTTATTCAAATATTTTATTGCGAGGAAAGGAGTTCAGTTACGCTGACTAAACCTCCGCAACAGCCAAGACGCGATGGGTTCATTATCTATCTTTGTTGCGCTTACTCGGCGGATACCCCCGAAACACAACGTCGGCTCGGGGCGAGCATTGGAAATACATATTTCTATAATTCTGTCTTAAGAATAAATGTGCGGAAAAACTGTGTGAAATATGCCTGCGCAGGGGACAGAACTATGAAATTGTTACGAAAAGGTTCGAGGATAGGCCTTACTTGACGTCTGTGCAACAATTGCAGATTAAGGAAGATGTTTCTGAAACTCATATTCAATTGAATGAACTGAATGTCCGTGATGAACGGCTATTTGAGGATGGGAAGATTTCCAAAGAAAAAGAACGAATCTGACTTTGTACTCATTTCAAAACATCTGAAGCCTGGCGAAACAGAAGTAAAGCACATTCCTTTATCCATATTAAGCCCACTGGTTATCTGTTAGAACGATTAATAGAAACAAAACATATTGAAACTAAAGAAGAATCGTCTCATACTCAGTTTGGGAGGCCTGCTGTACATGCATTCGACGCGATGATTCAGCTGGCAGAATCGGCAAATTGCGGCAGTTATGGCAATAGGGAGGTTTGTGAGATGGTGGTCTTTGAAGGCAGGAATGCCTTTAATATGGCTCGGTGGCCAGAAATAGTAAGTTCGCTCACACCCTTGCATACCTGCTCAACAGGACCAAAAGCTACTTCGACGAAAGAACGCTGAAAGTCGGGGAAACCAAAGAGGTTATGTATATTTATGTGGGAGTTTCACAGGGATCCGTTTTGGAGCCACTTCTATGGAATGTGTTCTACGATGAGATTATAATGCTGACAGGAATAAACTTGATAGGGTATGCCCACGACTTGGCAATGGTGCTAACAACCAAGGCGGAACAGACATTAAAAACCTTCTGGCATAGGGTATAACCAAGATCAACATATGGATGGGGGAAGATGGCTTGAAGCTGGCTCCTGAAAAATTATAAAACTTTCTAGTAGGTAGAAGTTTTCCTATAATAATAATAATAATAGTAATAATAATAATAATAATAATAATAATGAGAATAAATAAATACTTTGATAGTACAATTTAACATTTGAAAGCATTATTGCCACATGTACACACAAAAACATTACATCAAAAAAACTATGGGCAATTAAAATATTCATTCAGTGAATAAAAGGCCTTTTCTAATAAATAAGCTTTCAATGTTTTTTTAAGCTATATGTATTGGTGCATTCTTTTATATGTACGGGCAAAGCATTAAAAATTCTTACGCCATTATAATATGGGCTTTGCTCATATAATCTGGTCTGATGGAGCACACTTAGATTTTTACAGTTTCTAGTGATCATGTTATTGTATTAATAATTTTGCTTTGTATCAATACGTATACTCAGTATGTATATACAGGGTGACTTCGAAGTTGAGTCATTTATTTCAGCAGTGAGTAGATCTGATCAAAAGAAATGTTTTTTTCCTTTACCATTTTCCTGGTAAAATTAAAGTAACAAAGTTATAGCCCTTTGGAAGTTTGAGTACCGCCCTGTCTCAATAACAATATTATGTGGTCGTGTTTGGCGACAATGGATATAATCCGCCGTATTGGTTCATCGCATCGGAAACAAAAAAGCGAAAGAATTTGGAACGATGTTTTTACAGGTATCTCATTCATTTGTATACAGTTAGTGTCAGTGAACAGTGGTATGTGTTGCGTGGCTCAAACGAAATAAAAAATGGCACATGTTTATGCGGATCGGTTTCCCAATCGAGTGCAACCAACCCCTCGTGCCTTTGTTAATGTAGTACAACGGGCTTGTGAATCAGGTGACTTAAGACCTCACAGGGGACCTCACGATCAAATACAGGTCCGCACTGAAATACTTGTCGGGAGGATACTTTATAAAACAAGGTAAAATTTTTTTTTTATTTTTTTTTTATTTTTACACACATATTTTGGTTTATCTTCCTTCTACAATCATTATCTGAAAATTAATGACTCAACTTCAAAGTCACCCTGTATATGGAATTGTCAATATTTTCAACTGTTTGAAGTACTCTCTGCAAGATGTCATCTGGGGTAATTTTTTAAAATTCATTTCCGGCAAATAAAAACTTCGGCAGATTTCAAAGAGTGAAACCAAAATACTATGCTGTATTTTATTATAGATTATACATCAGCAAAGTAAACCATTTTCAAGACTTCAGTACTAACTTGATCTCTAATACTGTGTATCAAATAGCAGGCAGAATTCATTTTCGAAAGTACTGCCATTATTTGCTCTCTGCACTTCAATGAATGGTCTCTTTTCACACCTAGAAACTGTGTAGCGTTCGTTTGAACTATGGTTCTTCCGTTTAATTTCACATAAAGTGATTAAGAAGAGTCATTATTGAAGTATATAATATTCGTTTTATCAATGTTCAATTGTAGTAAGTTGTCATTGCACCATTGAGCTACATTATTTACAAGCTTAGTTGATTTTTGCTGCTCTATGCTTTTGTCAGCCACTATACCCGTTATATCATCAGAGTACATGTATAACAAAGTGGGTGCCTCATTTATTACTTTTTTCTATTTGAAAAATCAACATGCTCTTTACGAGGTGAAATCGAATTTTTTTATTGATAAATGAAGGTTGGTTTATGCCATTTATATATGAAAAATAACATGTCATGTGACCGCCGCGGCTTCGTTTACAGGCCAACATCCGTACATCAAAATTTTCAATGAATTTTCCCAGAATAATCGGGTCTATGGCCGCTATTTCAGTCCGAATATTGCGCTTTAGGTCTTGAATTGTCCGGGGACCATTCGCATACACTTTTCCTTTCAAAAATCTCCAAATAAAATAGTCAAGAGGTGTTGAATCGCACGATCTCGGAGGCCAACTGACATCTGAATTTCGTGAAATTATGCGGTCTTGTAATTTCGTGTGCAATAGGCGATTGTTTGGCCAGATGTGTGAGCCGTTGCTCCGTCTTGATGAAACCAAAGATCGTCGGCACCAATACGATCCAATTGTGGCCACAAAAAGTCTGTTAACATGCCGCGATAACGTTCCCCGTTTACGGTAATGGCCTTTTCTTCGGCATCTTCAAAGAAGAATGGCCCACCCATGCCACCAGCCCACAATCCACACCAAACAGTCTCTTTTTCAGGATGGAGAGGTTGTTCATGATATTGGTGTGGATTTTCAGCCCCCCCATTGAGGTGAAAATGCGCGTCATCAGAAAAGAGCACTTTGGCCGAAAATCTTCTCTTTCCATCATCCAATTAACAAAAACGGCTTAAATTCTTGTGTTAGTTAGATTTTGTATGGATGGAGGTGTAAATCAATGTCTAAAATCCGGCGTAAAGTGATTTCACTAATTCCCAATTGTTGCGAACGGTGCCTAGTCGAGGTGGTTGGATCTTCTCGCACACTTGCACTCACTGCGGCTGTTTTCACGAGTATGAGCTGGACGAGCATGTTGGTATGGTCAGCTGAACCAGTTTCCTCAAAACGATTAACAATCCAACAAATTCCAGGCTCTGTCGGGCGTCCATGTCGGCCAAAACTAGTGCGAAGGTTGCGAAAAGTATTTTTTATATTTCGACCGTTTTCGTAATAAGTTTGGATAACCAAAATGCGTTGTTGTGTTGTGAACGAATCCATGACTATAAATGGCATACCTTTGGCAGTTCATTTATGCAGACCACATGACTTTTGACTCGCATGGCAATACATAAACTTATAGGTAAAAAAAGTAATAGATGGAGATGGAGATTTGGATATATCGTTTATGTACACTACAAATAAAATTGGTCCAAGGATTGACCCCTGTGGACCCCCATATTAATTTTTGCTTTTTTCGAGTAAAACGAATCACCATTTTCAGCTGTCATACTGACTAGTTGAGAACGATTATTTAAATATGATTTCATTAGGTCAGAGGCGATTTCTCTGATTCCATAGAATTCCAGTTATAAGAGAAGTATCTCATGATTGAGTACACCCCGGTTACTTTTTCACCAGTATCTAGTCGAGTAAGTAATGTATTTAAGGAATCTCCAATGGCGTCTTTTGTTGATCTTTTTGGCAAAGATATTACTTTCAATAAAAAAGGATAAAAGTCTACTGTAGATTATTCTTTCAAATATTTTGGATAAAATAGATAGCAGTGCAACCGGTCTGTCGTTTGACATATCGTCTTTCAATCCTTTCTTGGATACTGGAATTCACACAATTAATTATTTCGTATCAAAATACTTCAACGTAAAGAAATACGGCTGAGACTTTGACTACAACATAAATACCTATAATCATCTGCTGGATGGTAGTAAGGGTTGCTTCCAAAGCTAATATAACGCAAGCTACTGTTAGGCTAAAGCTTGAGTTTATGGATGGTCGAGAAGCACTATGAGTTCTTGTACAATTAGTACGCACAAGATTAGGAGTGTACTGTCAAAAAATAATTTAGGTACATCAAACATTTGGAAAGATGTAGTATCAAATTGCTGCGATAACACAACAGTACATTTGGCAAGCCGCAGTATTATACAATGACACCCCTCCTGATGGAAAAAAATTGAGATAGTACCGTGACAAGAAAGGATAAGCCCTAGATTTTACAAACACTGAGCTCCACATCAGTAAGCGTACTTTCCACCAGCAAGTTAGTGCAGGTGGCGAGATGTGCTTCGTGACGGTGTCTATTTATTACAATCTAGAACAGCCTGGAAACAAGATACAAGAAGTTCTACGCATTGATATCCTTCCTGAATAAATAAGTACGGTCGCAAGTCGTACCTGAGATGAGGTGTTATTTCGTGATGGAGCTAACTGCTGCATTCTAGAATAGCCGAGATAGGAAAAGTAAGATCTTAGGTGCCTTTTTTGAAATGAAGAAAATTAAGACAGTAACCTCGCAATAAAAATCAACTATTTGTTTAGAAAGCCAGAATTCTGCAACTGCTGAGTTACTATCCGCATGCGTTATTACTTTGGATACTACCGAATTGTAATGGTATCTATACATTGTAGTCTAGAACAGCCTAAAAACTAGAAAGTTGAAAGAAAGAATAATGAGACAGTACTCCTCCTCGGTACCACTTCGGTTAGTACTAGCAGGGATGTGTTCCCGACTCGCAGCGTTTATATAATGGAATCTAGAAACAAGGAGAATCATACGCACTCGGAATCCTGCGGTACCACATCAGGTAGTACCAGCAGCAAAGTGTCAGCGTCAGCCGTGACGGCGTGGCGTCGAAGGCGGTCGGCGCGTTTTTTGCGAACTCTAGCGGCGACGGGACGTCGGCGTCGGACGGCAGTACCGTCGCGGGGTCACGTGACCGGTACTACAAAATGCCGGTCAAACGTCTCGGCCTATCCAGTCTACTTGATTTGCCATCGGTAGCGGCAACGATCGCTCTTTTGCAACCGTGGTCCAAATTCGCGAATTGATTTTAATTTATTCGATTCTAATCGACGGCACTCGGGGTACGACTAGACGGCATCAAGATGGCGAACAACAACAACGGGGAGTTCAGAATACCTATGTAAGTGATGTTTTATAAATAATTGTCAATGTTTATTTTAAACTGACAGATGATGTTTAGTAGGATAGCTCCCAAAAATCCTGAGTATACACCGAGTTCTTGCTACTTTGGTAAATTTCATATGCTCGGACTGTGGAACTTTGTAATTTAGTTATTATTTTTTTTAAATTACATCAAGTATTCAGTATTATTTTTTTGCTGAATTCTATATTTTGAGAATTTTATCACATGAGGACGTAAAATATTGCTCCGGTAGGACTTTTCGGATCGGGTCATAAACATTAGAGTCATTATAATTATTCCGCTTATTATATTGCTATTTGAGATATTTCTTTTTGGAGGGTGCTATAGTTTTGGATCTTTATTTAAATTATATGCCGAAGATGAAGTATTTACTATTTAAATTGGATTTTATTATCGTACAAAGAGGTAGCCTTGTCAGAATGTGTTCCAATAAAATATCAGTGCGGCCGTCAGCCTTGAAATTAGCTCAAATTTCAAATTGATCGCATCTACGTAATGTTTACATTTAAATATGTTAGAACACATGTATTTTAAACTTCTGCGCTCACATTCAAAACAAAATTTGAACTCTTGTTAAACTTGTGTATTGATTTATTTCGACTTTTGTTTTTGTTGTAAACGCAGTGGAGCATAACTTTCATTCTAATATTTGTTCTGTGTCTCAATATGCTGTATTATAGATATGATATAGAAAGTGTTGCTACCGTCTCATATAAAAAATACAAAGATAAATATCAATAATATAAAATTGCGAACATACAGCTTTTGAAAAATAATCAAGGACTACAATAAAAAGGTGTTGAAGAGAGTTCAAAATACATAAGACATTTGAGTGCAACAATTTTAACTTAAAATTTCAGTTGCTTTCAATGCCGAAAGCCCCGCTTATAGAAATGTTCTCACAACAGCTTCAAAAAATAAAAAAACTAAATTTGACGAACCTTTGAACAACTGTTTTTATTTGTTTTCATTTCCGCCCTGTTGTATCAATTTTGGCAAATAAAAAGTAGCCTTCTCGTCTTTACCATGGCGCCACGTGTCCCTACGAGGGATGTCTTTTAAGTTTTGCATATGGAAATAAAACAACTCGGTAGGTAGTTTTAAATGCCTTTATTGCTTTTCGAGATTAATACACGTCTGCATGCGCTCGAACCAATTTTCGAAGCACTTATTCCACTCGTTTGCTGGCAGATCCAAAACGGCATTTTTGAATGCGTCAACTGCTTCTTCTGGTGACTGGAACCTATGACCCCGCAGTCTGTTTTTAATTTTCGGGAAAGTAAAGAAGTCGTTAGGACTTTGATCGGGACTATATGGTGGATGGTCCAATAATTCCACGTTTTCTTCCGTTAAATACTGCCTTGTTTTTTGGGCTGTGTGCGAGATTGCATTGTCTTGGTGGATGATGATTCTTCTTTCGGGGTTGATTTTTCGAAGCTCGGTGATGACTTTTGGCAAACAAATGGAGGTAGGTATACCAATCCGCAGTAACAAATTCTTTGTTCATTAAGAGGAATTGTTGCAATATGACCCGCTTTTAACAGAAATGTCGCGACCATCTTTTTCGAAACACTTCGAGAACGGATGACTTTTGTTCACCTTGGAACACACAAACAGCCGACTGTCGTTTATTTTCTGGTTCATAACGGTAAATCCACGATTCATCACCACTAATAAGGCTGTACACATTTTTTGAGTTTCCGGAATTGAAACGGTCAAGCGTTTTTTGACACCAATTAAACCTGGCAGCTTTCTGCTCTTAAGTCAACAACGAAAAACTAATTTTCTTATTCCTAATTCTTCTTGTAAAATTTTTTTAATTGAGGTCATTAAGTTCTTCAAGGACGCCTCAATCTCGCTATATGTCACATGTCTATCTTCACTTATGAGTTTGCGCACAGCATCGACGTTTTCCTGGGTGACTGCCGTTTTTGGTGCACCCACCCTGGGATCGTCGCTAAGACTCACCCGTTCACATTTGAATTGCCGAAAACAGACAATAACGATAATTGTCTCTGAAAGTTGTAATAAATTATGGCGCGAAAATGTTCTCGGTTGAGTTCCATTTTTCTAATGACTTGGTGACACTTAAAAATTCGCTGTAGTGAGAACACTGCCCGTATTGTTGTGAAACTTTGAATTTAAGTTTACTAAAGAGTGAGGTTAATATTCAGTACTGACGTTGGATCCGCGCGGCCCACTATGTTTCAATATGCAAAACTTAAAAGACATCCCTCGTATTATGTATGTTGTGATCAAAACAAGAAAATATTGCCATGATTAAAATACTGACATGGCTATTAACATAGTAATGTAAAGCATAACTGAAAGTCAGTCTATTCTGACCGCTCATGCATAAGCGGGCCGTGGTTGCAAGAAATGATTTTTCAGACATTATCTGATGATGCATCACAAACTTTGTCTCGCAGTCTATCTACCGGACTCTTTGATATTTGACCCGCTTGCTAATTTGTATGTCAATCTTTCGGTCTAGTGCATTCTTATCACAACATATTCTAGTTATTTGCAGTATTTCATGTTAACCAAAAGTAACCGTAAGAAAGCCAGGATAAAATTTTGAGTGAAAGCTTCTCTGTAGCTCGCCATGCTAGTTAGAGGACAAAATCAACTTTCACATATCCGGTCTGTCTAAAATTTCGCTAATGGATTCACATTATTTAGTCTTTAAAATCGAATTCCATACATATTAAGTAATATATTCTTTTTTTCGTAAATTATATACATAGAAAAGATACGTAAGTAACATGTTCAAAGTACGTTAGATTATTCCAAAAAACTTAAAAAATTAAATTTTGAGCTTGCCTTGCTATAACAATTTTTCATTTAGATCAAAATCTAAAAACATGTGTCAGGTATAAACTGAATTATTTCAGTTATTATCATTCTCTATCATAAAAAATGCTCAAATAACCTATCATAACATTATCTTAAGTAGGTACAACAAATACTGTTCTCGTCAACAACTACTAGGTAACAGATAACAGTCGATCATACGCATAATGCATAATAACAAATATCCGTTCATTAACAATAAAGACTTTTACATTAGAAATATTCATTTTTATAATCACCACTTGGTACCTGATAGATTTTATATCAATAATAGACTATCTCTCGAATCTCCACCTTGGAAGTTTATTTCGAGCCATGGATGTTGTGTTGGTCCGAATACTACGTACCAGATCAGTGCAAAATCAACATTGATGCATCACACTGCTGGAGCTGGGTGGTTTAATAATCAGTTACCACGTTACCAGTAAACAGAATGTGTAGTAGTACAGTGTTGATACTACGGTATCGGCAAAAAGGGTGAAAAGGGTCCTAGTTGCCGGGCTTTGCCTCCCCACCACTAACTGCTACTAATACTCCCCCTCCCTTTAGGCAAAAAGACTGGAGGCTTAAAGGTTTGAACAGTTTCGATACAGAACTTCTATCTGTATTTTGTTTTCTATTTTTTCTCTTTTCAATTGCTGAACGTAAGCATTTAAAGGACTTCACTTCCTCCATCTCATCTACATCTAGTTCCAGCCTTATATTCTTCTGGTCATTTGCCACTTCCATGGCTTTTGACTTATGTGTATTTATTCTCATTTCTTGGCTACTCAAACAGCTATTCCATAACTCTAGGTCATATTTCAGGTCTCGCTCATCTGTCTTATGATAGGATTAATTAATTAAAACCTCATTGGGTACATCAATATCAATACTCTTGTATATATAAAACAGCCGCGCAGGCAGAAGCTTAAATGCCGGAACACCGCGGCTGCTATGATGATCCCAAAGAAATTTTGTTAATACGTTTTTTGAACTGCCTAAGGTTAAAGAGAGCTCTGAGGAGCAAAGCCCGTTGGTGTAGCGGTAGAAAGGAGCTAGATCGCCGACGGTCTGTCGGTGCGAAATGGTCCCGAGACTGCGTGTTAGAAAAGAGTCATCTATCAGTCGGACCGCCCTCCTCTGGACAGCATCGAGCATAATTAATGTAGTCGGGGCGACAGCACCCCAAACGTGTAAGCAATACTCGAGGCTAGGCCTCTGGGCCTTGTATATGGTAGAGTGAGAAGGTCGTGCGGAGAAAAGTACTTCTTAGCCCTGCCAAGCAGAAGAAAGAATTCCAGCAGGTGCCGCTATTGACGAGATGTGTTCGTGCCAGATCAGGTCCGCGGTGATCTGGACTCCGACCAGCCGAAATGAATGGCTCTTTGGCAAAGATCGGCCATCCATCGAAACCGGATGATCGCTAGGATGCTTTCTGTTCGTCAAAGTACAGTACTGTGTTTTGGAAGCATTAAACTGTACAAGATTGTTGCGTCCCCAAGCAGTAATAACCTGCAGGTGTCTCGTCAGAGAGGAAGTTGTCGTTAGTCTTCTTTTTTCCAGCTTAGCGGCAGAGATCGGCTTGTCACTCTGAATTCCTGCATGTAGAGTGCTGTCAACAGCGAAGCTGTCGATTGGGTTGATCGTGCAGGAAAGGAGATCGTTGATATGTGTGCCACAGCTGATCGAACGCTTTCGTGATATAAAGAGCAACGACATGAGCCTCATCATAAGACTGGATGAGTTTACTGCACAATTGCACAATTGACGTAAGCTAGGAGGTCCCCTGTGGATCGTTGGTGCCGGAAACCATACTGCCTGTCGCTAATCAAGCTGTGACGTTCGAGGAAGTTCAGAAGCTCGCGATTTATACACCTCTCCATCACTTTACTTATAACAGAAAGCAGAGCTATAAGACTGTAGCTGTAAGGATCGGGATGGGTTGCACATGAGCAAATTTCAAGTTTTCTGGGAAGGTGTCGGATTCAGAAGAGACGCGAAAGAAATGGAGAAAGCTCCGCTGCACACCTCTTCAGTACAATGGCAGGAATCGAGTCCGGACCAGAAGCTTTGTTGATGTCGAACGACAAGAGCACTCGTCTTACGGTCTTACGCCTGAATGTTACCTCCCGCGTAGTGTAAGGAACCCTTTGAATTGACGGTACTTGGGCGTTGGGGTGGCAGCAAAGATCTTGACTAGCACTTCTGCCTTGGCCTTTGAGTCGAATACAATCGTTCCATCCTGACACGTAAGTGGTGGAAGGTTACTCTGTGAGAAGTTCCTTTCAATCTACTTGGCCAACGTCCAGAAAGACCTTGCGCTGCGAGATTACCCTGTGCCTAACTTTTATATCGTGCTGATTTTTGGCATTGCGAACCGCTTCGTTATGTTTGTTTCTGGACACGACGTCGGCTTGTCTGTTCTCTACAGTGGGGTTCTGTGTGCCTTGATCTTCTGCTGGCGAGTAGTGTCACATGATTTGTTACACCAGCCGTTGAACCCGGGTTTTTGCACTTTCACAGTGTGAGGGATGTATTCCTCCATTCCGACGTGGATAATTTCAGTTATGGATGAACAGACAGCCGACGCATCCGCGTCAGTGAAACAGACATCTCTCTAAGGAAATGTAGAGAAGAAGTTTCTGAGCCCCTCCCAGTCGACATGTCCATAATGCCAAGTTATGCGGCCTGTACGATTTTCTTCTGCCACAGCGGTGTCTGACCGAAACCTAACCTCCACAACACAGTGGTCTGAGTTACCCAGTGGGGACAGGACAGCAGTGCTGTAAGTGACAGAATGCGTAGTCAGAAAGATATCCAGCAGGCTACTGGCGTGTTATGAGACGCGAGAGAAAAAAGTAGGGCTCGTCACCAGCTGGGGCAGCTCTTGAGTAAGAGCGAACGCTTCGACTGCACGACCTGCTGCATCAGTCTTGTTTGAGCCCAGCCAAAGCTCATTATGGGCATTAAAACCACCGATAAGAACTACCTCTGAAGCGGGGTGATTGATGTTCAGGCAGTCGATCTGGACGGTAAGGTATTCGAGTAGGTCATCCCAGTTATGGTCCGAGAGAGAGCGATAAAGGCGGCAGATAAATTTGGGTGATGTTTTGGAGTTGAGGCGAAGCCACAGAATGTCTTGCCGGTCTAATTCCAAAGAAACATCTCTGGAACAGGAAAGACTGCTGCGGACAAAAGCCACAACTCCCCCGTTCTTTTTCAGATTATAGTGCACCTCCTAGTTTGGGAAGTTGAGATGTTTCATCGGTGCAGACTCTGAGATTTTTGTCTCCGCCAAGAAAAGCACGGCGGGACGACTGGATTGCAGGTAGTGATGAACAGAATCAATGTTGCTGTTAATCTCGCAGATGTTCGAAAAACAAATTTTATCTTCGATGTTGTTCCCTCGAGCCTCCCTCCACCCGGACATTCCTCAAAACCAAATTTTTATCTGTTATCTAATCAGATACTACTATATTTGAGTCTGATGGCAATTATTCTCAGGTTCTTCAGTTATACGGACATAAAAACAAAAACGCACATTTCATGCCATTTGCTCGTAATTTTCACGCTTTACAGCAACTTAAAAACTAATTTTCTTCCGCTATTTATAAATTGGAAAGTCTGAATTTCTTTTTACAGTTAGAAAAACGGCTCATATTGTTCATTGACACCGGAGGAAACTGGTAATTAGATCAACTTGTCTAGACAATTACTCAATCAATTGTGTAATATAAACAAATAAAAAAGATACTTTAACTATGCAGTTTCGAAAAATACGGAATTCTGGTTGATTTTAGTTCCCTTGCCGCTGCAATCGGCATAGGAACAAACCAATGAACCTTGAACTCTTACAACAAGCCTATTTGAGGAAACTTATCTAAAGAGAGAAGAGTCACTCTAACATAGTCTTTTAACTACTGGAAAACCTCAAAAGACAAGCAGCTACCTTAAAAATAAAGATATACTCAGTAAACACATTCATGTTTATTATACCGAAAAAATATCTTTTTCTATTATACATAGTGTGCTGAAAGTTTTTAGAAGGGTAAGAGCTTTCCTTGCAATACTCGTATGTAGCAGCCAAAAAGGTACATGTGTGATGTTTGATTGCCATCGATCGCGCAGTTTTCATGTGACCAACATTTTGCTATAATTTCGTGTAGAAGGATTCAAATATGTAATATAGATAGACAGCTAGATATTTTATTTGTCCACAGATCATGTCTGC